TGTCTGACCTGGTTAAATCCAGCTCTAAGTGTGCCAAGTGTGCGCCGAACCTAGCCCACACGAAAAAAATGTTGACGAAATAGTTTGCAGACCTGCACCATTGTCTCGCTATCTCAGCCATGACTTAACATCGTCTACATACGTTCTGGCCACTGCCGGTAGCCACTGCCGCCCGAGACAGTAACTTTGATTTGCGTGCACAGTGAAACCCTTTCGCGTCTGGTCCGTTCTTGTTCCTGCTGCTGCTTCTGGGCAACTATGGAACTTAAAGGTACAGCCACTAGGTTCATCAGCCAAATATCAAGTTATTTTTCGGTTCGCAACCTCCAAGTCACAGAGTAGCGCGTATTTCTAGTTTTGTCCAAAATACGCACCGTCGGAGTTTGCCTTTCCAAAAGGCCACGAATTTCTTGAGGCCATGCATTCCGACGATTCATACATCAATCGCCAATCCATAGAGTTAGATGGAATTTATAAACACCTCAATGAATGGTGGAAGAGACGAGGGCTGCACAATAAAGACTGACAGAGGCAACAACTACCAATCAGGCCTCACACCATATGACTATTGATTTTTTCCGCACGTTTGAACTTAAGTTGTTCTTTACTCATTTCTCGTTAGTCCGAAGACGAGCTAGGGAACCAGTCTTGAAAGTTCATTGATTACATTAATCGTTTTATACCAAAGAACATCTTCTTAATATTAAGTTTCTTGGGATGCATGATTTCCAGTTTATACGAATATTCTATCGCTTTTTACGCGGGTGTCGTATGTTTTTCGGCTTTGTTAACCTTTGTCAGGGGCGAATTCGAGCCAAGCCTAGCGGCTGACGTATATTTTACCTCAGTCACGTCCTACAGGCCCCGAAACGTCTCCTTTAGCCCAAAAGCAATACTAGAGCCAGTGCTTAGTTTGTGCTAGCCTTTTGCGACGGCACCTAAGCCGGTCGATACGCAGAAGATCGCTCCGTCTGCGCGTAACCTCGGATCTTCCTCTGCTGTCCTTGAAAAATGTTTCATGTTTATTGTTACTTCCCCCAGCCTATTGGCAGTTTGCAAACAGGCACACGGCTGCAGCCTCACGCGTGCGGGCAAATATGCGTTTATTCGGGTGTATTGTCTATTTCCGACGTGTGTTAACGCGTGATTTCTCGCACCATTTTTTGTGCAAGCGATGTTTTTTTGTCAAGTCTGGGCTGAGGGACGTGATTCGTGTGGTTGCGCACCTTGCTTCGAAAGCGTGACGATTGATGGAACGACATTTCGTTTGTAGACAACTCCCACTCTTTGAATCTGGTTAACAGTTGGCTGGGTTGACCTTCTTTTAATGCTCCCTCTATCCCTGTCTGCCAGCTTTTCATCGTCATCATAGCGACAAAATTTCGAAGCATGGTTTATTTTACGGTCAGACTAGGGGTTTGTCTAGTTGTGTAATCGGATGTTTTCCCATTAATTGACCAACTTCTTTGACTTTTTAGACCGCTGGCGTCATAACACACCCATTTGACGTTGTTAAGACGCATCGTCAGATCGAGCTGGGCGAATCCATCTTTGGAAGTAAGTGAGAAATTACTTTTTCCGTGGTTCTGTACCAGTGTTTGATTTGCCGGCTCAGACTACCTTCCTGAAAATATTTAATATTGTCCACTTGAGTAAGTTAAATTGTAAGGAGCGCAAGAAGCGATATCCACAATAACCAGCAAATATTATTGACCATTTCCGGCCGTGTGTAATCAGTGGAGCCTTCATTGCACCAGCACCCGAGGTTTGTGTTCGGTTCGAATGACTCACCGATCTACTCAAATGCGGAACATGTAACTGCTTGGGTGGACTTTCGGCGCGAAGTTTTAAAATCAGGTGGAAATACCCACACCCATCCTGCAATTTAGCACACTAGTAAATGTCACCTGCATATGGCATTAAACATAGTAAAAGTCATCTGACAATGTCCACGTGGCATTTGAAAGTATTCTTATTCGAAAAAAACAACTCATACAGTTCCCCAGCTTGGTCTGCTGCTACTTCGGCCGACAAGGCTTATCAGATTATTTCGAGCTAATGCAAAGGCGAGCCGAACTTTGAAGGACTGTTGAGGCGACTGCACATGTTCGTGCACCACCATGGCAAGATACGCCAGGGAGCTAGATCCACCTCTAGATCCACATGCCGATTATCTCTCCCGCTCCAGTGCTCTCGGCGCGCGTTTTATTGCCGCTAATCCTGTAGTTCGACCGTTTCGCCTAATGAAGTCAGGCGTGTGCCCCGCGGAGTCGTCTCGGGTCAGTGACTTGCACGTTAATTTATTTATGGGTGTTAGTAGCCCACTCCAACCGAATGCCAGCATAACCTTGCAGGCTGTCCTGACGCGTCGCGCCAGTGGCCGACTGCCAACAGTGATTCCTTTGTCAATGCGGACTGCCTCAGGGTCTTGTGTCCTCGCTGTGAATGTCTCCACACTATAAACCTAAACCGCTGGTTCGGACATTCATTCACTGATGAGCACTCTCAAAGTTCATGTATCCAACAAATTCTGCTGTTTTGCCATGTTCAAATTTGCACCCGGGAAAAGCTGCTTTAAACCTCGTAAGGGCGGTGTTAGCGTGACAGCAAGAGGATCGAAGCGACGGCACAGACCCTAGCTCGCATAACCTGGGCTTCCGTGCCAAATACTCCATCATACACCACCTGGTCACAGCCTACACCTGACCAAGACTATGGCACAATAAGGGGATAGGAGCAGCAATTCGTACAGCCTGAGTCTTCCCGTCATACACGAAAAACCAGGGACGCATTCACAATTAAAACGACCTGGATAAGAAACTGATTCCCCTCTCGCAGGTCATAAACAACCGTCGTCATCCGCAGTATCCGTACTTTTATAGTGTTCCGCCTCGATTCCAGTGAAGTGAAAAGTAAACGGTCTAAAGGCGGGAGGGTCAGTTATCTGTGGGCGACTGGGCACAGGTCACCCTACCTGTAAAGGCATGCCTGATCGTCATGAAAGAGCAAGATTCAACAGCGACGTTAGTCTCTCATCAGTGATCTGCGCAGGACGCAATCTGCTCCGTCCTACTGCGCCTCCTCTCAGGTCAGAAGCAGCTGCTGTT